AGCATAATAAATGCAAGGAAAAATAGCTAAAAGATTAAATTGCAAAAAGGTTAAGAAATTATATAAGTATTAATTACATTAAGGAAGGCTTCCTAGCTAAGGGTAAAATGAAGCTAAGGAGTAATTAATATAAATAAAGAAATAATTATAAAGGTAATAAAAAGGTTGCATAAAGATAATAAAATAATGCACATAATAAGTATATTATAATAATAATATGGTATTAAAAAGAAGGAATTATAAAAGGAAGTATAATTATAAGGAAGTTATTTTAAGTAATAATAATAAATATAATATAAGGGTAATAGCTATAATAAATAATATTAATATATTAATAAAAGCGTATTATAATTTAAGGCTAATAATATATATAACTTATATATAATTATAATATATTAATAAAGAATTATATATATAGCAATAATATTATTATATTATAATAGCTTATAATATACATAATATGCATTTTATATTATATTATGCTAAATATAATATATAAATATAGCTAATATAAGAATAAAATAAATAATTATTGCTTTTAAGGTAAATAAATATAGCCTTAAAATAAATATATAATAGGGTAAATATATAATTAATATAAGATTGCAAAAGCCTTAGGTTTAATTCTTGCTATGCATAATATAAAAGTGAAAAAGGGGCTATATAATGAGCTTAGGCTATTGCTTAAGCTGTAATATATGCCTATGCCGGGCTTATATTGCACCTAACCCTTTTATATAACGGGGCATATACTTAAAAGATAGATTTAAAGTTAGGCCCTTTTAGGGCTTAACTTACTTTTTAAATATTGCAATTCATAACTCCTTTTAGGTACCTTTCAGCAAATGCTTAAGGCCAACTCATAACAATTTATAATACTTAATTTAGCGCCTTATTTATTAAACTTTCTTAATATTATATTATTTTGCTTAAGGATATTAATATAATAAGTATAATTTAAATATATAATATTAACGTTAATAAGCTTAACTTAGGGTTAGAAATATTGCATAGCTTAATATAATTACTTAAGACTTTCTTGTTATTTAAACTCCTTAATATTCTTAATAAAGTGGCTTTATTTAAAGGGTATATTTTTATTATAACTATAAATTATATAAAGCACGTAGATAATACTTTAATATAACTTAATTATATTAATAAGAAAATTAAGTTTTAGCTTATTAACTTTGAAGTAATTAAAAAGCTTTTTTATAATATATTTAAATAGTTAGAAAAGGAGGTGTCTGATATGGAAAGCCGAGATAAGTATAACGAGGAAGTTAGGTAGCTGGCAATTTAATTTGCCGCTGTGGTCTCGGAACTGGAGTTTAGCCCTGCTAACATTCTTTCTTTCCTCCTAGCGAACAGGGACTCTCCGTTAAATGCCTTGACTGATGCGGAGAGATGGGTATCCCGAGTCAAAGGCTGGGATGCTGAGAAGAGGCAGCTTAGAGTTTTAGAGTAATTGTCTTCGTCGAGTTCACGTCCGTTCGATGAGGCAAGAGCTCAAAAACGACATCAGCCTCGCCAAGGCTCAGACCCAACACCTCAAATACCAGATCCTTCAATCACATGGTCGTCGTGTATCGCCCTGGATCAGGCATTCTTAAACCCGAAGTTTCACGATTTTCCCGAAATACAAACGAGTTTTACTCTCTAAAGGATTCTCAAACAAATCAGCACCGATTAATGCTAGCGTATTTCGCCGTGTTTTACCATGTTCGACTTCGAACTGCAGACTTTCCTTCCGAAGATGATAATAGTGACAACGGAACATTCCTTGACTGCCCTGATATCGTCGTAGAGAAGCTGAGGAATATAGTGTATTGGTATTCGTTTCACAAGGTCGTTGGTTCGAACCGCGTGATTTCGTGGGTTGACGAAGAGTCAACTGAATACAATGCTGATTCTGCCTAAGATATAAACCAGACATTATTGCTACACCGTTGCGCGTGACCTCACATGAAAAGCGTGACCTCACATGAAAAGCGTGACCATGATGGCTGGGCTCGGAAAAGTCGAGACCCCGGCAGGAAGTTCGTCACTGATTGGGAGGCTGTCAGTTTGCTGCCCTCATCAACAGGAAAGGTGATCTTTGCAAGGCCTTCTTAGCTATCATGGAGAACGAATCGGTCGTAACTAAGACAAATTGAGTATGCAATTGCTGTTCTTCGCGCACTGTGTGACATTCCACTCACAGGGACAACTAAGACCATCCCCAGGTATCAGACGAAGTACCGAGGAACTAGAGCACACCGATGAGCACAATTGCTTGCTCAGTCGAGCAGTCTCAGCTCTCGAAGCAATTACAATCGCCCCTTTGCTTTGTCGGAGTCCGCGATTTATTCGGTAAAGACGCCAGCTCAAGCTGTCTTTCGCGAACCGAACCGAACTTAATCGATTCTCTGTTGGCTGCATGCGGCCTCCCAAGTACTCACATGTAAATATCAGGCATTCCCACGGGAAGGAACACTCTTGCTCGAGGTTTGTTCCTATGTAAAGAAGGGCCGAAGGCGGAATAGTCGCGTACGTAGTTGTACGAGAACGAAAATGCATGAACATCCCCGCTTCAGGGTGCCTTCACCAAACTACTTAATACCAGAGTCTGGGGGGCCGCCTGCAAGTGTTCAAACAGTCAACGGCTGTGGGACCCGCAAAGCAGTCATTTGGGCCAGGCCACACCTATCAAAGTGGTTGGATGGGGTCGCCATTGCAACCATTACTGTGAGAGACATTTGAGTGGGATAGATAGCCAAAAGCAGTTTCTAGCAATGGTTTCTACTATTCCCAGGAATCAGATGCCCCAAAGTAATTCTCAGGGCATTGTTCCCAGGAACTAATGCCCTGCACCGGGGTCATTCCCAGGAAGCATATGCCCCAAAGTAGGTCTCAGGGGTTATTCCCAGGAACCAGTAACCTACCTTGGGGTCGTTCCTAGGAATCGGGCACCCTAAAGCAATTTTCAGGGGGTTACTCCTAGGAAGCGGGTACTAGGCCCAGGGCATTGTTCCTAGCGACCAGATTGGTTCGGGGGTTGCTCTCACGCAGCCAGTCGTCGATTGTACTGGGAGTTGTGCACGAGTGTGGAGCACTATAAGTGTCAACGTAGGGCAGGCCCGTCTAGAGTAGTTGCAAATTTCTCCAGCGATATCGAACGCTTGGAGCCAGAGCACGATAGATTGTGGCAAGAACTTGTTGAGAAGAAAATTCTCAAATCTCACGAGACAAAAGAGTTTATGCGCACAGCTACTTCAGGAATGGAGCGCGAGAAAGAGAAGGATCAAGCAAGGAAGGCTTACATGCAAAGCTTGAGAAACGGGTCGAAGCCAGCACCTTTGAACAATCGCCGGACATCGAGTCAGTCAATTTCTCATGCTTTAGCCGACTGTGATAGATGAAGTCGTGTGCCCCATTACAAGACGCCTCCATTGAGACTTTGATATATCTCGTGGGAGGGATTTACATGGACGATTTGCTAAAAATAGAAAGATCGGAGCAGCTAAAAATAGTTCCCTCATCCTAACTCCAGCTACAGGCGGTTAGCTCACACGCCTTCACTTTTGTAGCATGAGAGCAGGGCGACCGGCGCCAACCTGTGGCGGCGCCAACCTGTGGCCAGTCCCCTGCATCAGGCTTGTTCCCAGGATCCAGCAGTCTCAAGGGTACTGTTCCCAAGAACCAGCCAGTCTCCTACGCCAGACACCATTCCCAGGAATCAGTACTCCGTCTAAGAGTCAGTCCCCTGATCGACTTGTTCCTAGGAACCAGATACCTAAAAAAAGTCTCGAGAGTACTGTTCTCAGGGAACAATCCCCTGCATTATTTGTTCCCGCAACTCTTGTAATTCTCATGCATTATGACAGAGACTCACATTTGCTGATGGAATTGCACTCATTCAGGAAAGGTCTTCTGCATAGTCTGCCCGAGAAGCAAAGTCCCAGTCTGGATACTGTGCAACTTAAAGAGCGTGACAGTATTTCCTCATTCGTGGAGGAGCCCTGAACTAGAAATGAGCACCTTCATTGCTTCATATTGCAAAACATACGTCGAGTGCGTTCGTGGGTTCGAAAATCCCGTTGAGAGTTTTTCAAAGCGCCGTCTTAGCGCTGTCCAACCGCGTCTCAGCGCGGCCACGACTCAGACCACGCGTAGCGCACCGACCACCCCGGCAACCCCAGCCTTCCTCCTAACATTGTCCAGCTTCTCTTTCAAGCAGCATTTACTGTTATCCCTAAAGCCTAGTTGATTGCGGTGACTGTAAATACCCCCTTTCGCTAACATGTGTGGCGATAGGGAGGGGGGTGCGCGGTGTTTGGTTTGGTGCTATGCCCGTTGCGGTTAAATCTTCTAAGCGCATAGCTGTGTAATATTTTTTTTAAAAAAAGAAGAAAAAAATAATTTAAAAGTGCTGGAGCCTGAAGGTTTTGTCATTGAGGCTTTTTGTCCTGTGGTGTTGTTAGTTACCTCGCTCGACCTGCTCGTATTCCTGGGTCTAGTTGAAATATGACTCCAAACCAGTTAGAGCCAGTTCAACCACTATAACAAAATTTCAACTAGGCCGTACAGGAGGCCACTAGAAAGATTTATCAAATTGATGAAAGCTAATTGCTTAGGAAAACCAAAATGGTAGGGCTTTTGCAACATTATGCAGACAGAAATAACAAGAACTTAGTTAGAGTATTTTGTTGGCAGTAAGTTAAGGCAATCAACTACAACACGAAAACTAAACTTTCGGTGATTATGTTCGGATATCCGGAACCGGATACAGTATCTTCTGTCCGTACTAGACAGCTACGAGCTTACAGGGATCAAGTGCAGCGGGTGTAATACCGAGTTAGCTTGAGGAATATATAAAGACCCTCAATGTTCCGTGCTTCAGCTTCATGAGCATCTCATCACATCCACATCTTTCTCACTCTCTTATCAACAGATATTTGAAACTCTCATCACATCCACATCTTTCTCACTCTCTTATCAACAGATCTTTGAAACTCAAGATGAAGTACATTCTTTTGACCACTATCTTTGCCGCTGCCTGCGCAGCTGGACCTCTCGCTGAAGTCAGAGATCTAACTGGCACGCCCGAGAACACGCTCACTTACGTCGACGTAGCTCCGGCTGAGTTGGAACCGCAGAACGCGGACTTGACCGACCTTGTCGCTAGGGATACGCTCCCTAACACTGTCTGCCCGGCCGGACAGACCTATGACCGCTCGGTCTGCTTCAAGTCCAACATCATTCGTAGCTTCTGCGTTGCCAACCCTCGCAGCAACCGCGAGAAGATTACGGACACCCCTTGCGCCGCCGACGAGATCTGTGTTCAGCGTCGCCTCACCAACGGCAGGAGCTACGCCAAGTGCATTCCTGTCGTTAACCTTGTCGAGTGGAAGACTAGCCCGGACGGAAACAAGGAAGGCTGCACTGACACCACCGTCAAGGATGGAGGAAACCACCACATCGGAACCATTGTCTATGATGTGAACCGCAACCCAATTCAAGTCGATAGGATCCGTTACCTCGGACAGCCTGGCGATGTTAATGAGGGAATTGGTGGAGCGACCCCGTTCTTCAGCAGCGACCTCTTCAGCTTCGCAGGAGGCCATTACCTCAAGAGTAAGGAGATAAGATGAAACGATAGTAAGAGTCAAGCTAACAAGCACTTAGCTTGCGTCTTTGCCGGTGGCTTCGGTAACCTGAACGCCTACTCCTGGGCTTGGGTTTAAGTCTGAATTGAGTCTCGAGACATTTGTTATGACCCGTCATGCAGGGATGGCAGTTGACCGACCCACTTTGGGGCCGAGCAGCTACGACAAGACATTTGTACTGCAGGATCACAGGAATGACAGAGCTCGATTAGGAACGAAAGGATTCTGGTACAGGTCTCACGACAATATGGAATGAGCAGCGATAAGAAAGGAAAATGAGCGCTCTTGGTGGGCCAGACATCAAAGCTCATTCACAAAAGAACTGTTCAGTATGACTTGTACATAGTATGACCTGTTGGTCAAGGTTAGACTTCCATAGCTCTTTGGCAAAAAACTGGTATTTATACCACCTTCAGCTTACCTTCATCGTAAGCACACGAAATTCGCGGGAAACATACATGAGGCGCTTGGTGTCGATACCGGTAGGACGTTATTTAAATGTACGTGGCGATCACCCCGGATCGAGTCCAGACAGGGCAAACACCATGAACGAAACTCCACGACACGCGCAAGATAAGGCATTAAGGAACGCCGTCATTATTCAAGTAAAGCACGGTCCTGCTCAAACCTCTTTCATAAGGTTAGATGTGGGCGGGAATACGGTCTACAGAGGCACCATGGCGACAATGCTTTGGTTGTTCGGGATAGAGAAGTTCTCCCATAATTGAAAAACTCATTGTTTAGATGGCCTTTTGAATTTTGAATCCTCAGCAACGCCATGGTCCTGTTTCGCTAAGCACTGCAGTCAAACCGGCTTCAAGATCCTATTCTGGCACCTCACCTCTCATGCTGGGTCCTATCCCACCACGATCAGTTAACAGTATGCATATATTAAACACAATGTAACGGCTGTTTCCTAATGGAAATAGCTTGGCGATGCAGACACGAATCTTTAACGTCCCCGGCCCCGATCCCGGCCGCCCCCTGATCCCGGCCGGCCCACACCCGCGTATATATATAAATGCATCTATACCCACCTTATATTAACTCCTTAATATCTTTATAAGGAATTTTTTTTAATTATTAAACTTCTTTTAAATATTATTTTCTTTATTATAAAGCAATATTTTAAAGATAACCTTATTAACGCTTTTATTATTATTGTTAGATTCTATATATGTTTTATAGTGAAATCCTTATAGATATAATTAATTCTAATGATTAACGTGATTATTGCTTGATTATTCTGTTTTTAAGCTAATGAATGATAAGGGCTGGTTTTTATCCGTGAATCTTAGTGTCTTAGGCATTTATTATAAATTCACGGTAAATTATTAGTAAATTATTATTCCTTAATAAATTTATGGTAAATTTACCATAGGACTATTTAATTATGATATATTTACCATTAGTTAGATTTAATATACCCCCTTAAATTAGCAAAAACTAAGAGGCTAAACTCTTACTTATCTTATCGCTAATTGCTATTAAATTATTATATTTTCCATTAAAGTTCCCTTATATGGGTTATTTTTAATGCTTTTTAGTTTAAGCTAATATAAAAACCCGTTTTATTTTCTAGCGGGCAGCGCTTTTATTAATCTGTTTGCTATTATTTATATTAATAATATATATTTTACTATGATTTTATCATCTTAAACTTTTTATTTTAGCTAATAATTATAAATATTTATATGTTGTAGCTTAGTTTTAAGTATAGCGATTTTAAAGGTTATTAGGTTAATTATTTAAGTATTATTATACTTAATTTTAATGATTTTATTATTTAATTTTATAAATAGCTTAATAAAAAGCTAGCTTATAAAAAGTATTTTTTTTATAGCTTAAATTAAAAGTTAATAGCTTTGCTTTTATAATGGAAATTATAACTATATCTTGCTTATTTACTTTTTATTTAATAAGTTCGCTAAATAACTTTATAGTAAATACTTATAAGCTCTTTTAATTTAAGGAGTTATTAATAAAAGATATATTGTTAATAATTATAAATCCCTTTAAATCTTAAAAGCATAAGGCAAGATGCTTAGTATAAAGAAGATATAGTAATACTTTATTAGCTATATTATAATGTTTTTGGCTTAAATTGGTTAGGAATTAAGCAAGCCGTAATATAGTGAAGGTAATATTTAATTATATAAAGATTATAGCGAATAAAAGTAATTTAATTTTCTTTTAATAGGAATGGACTTTGGCTTTTATAGTAGTAATGATATGCGGTAATAACTCTTTAAGAGTTATAGGAACCTTATAGAGAATATTTATTTTATTAATTAATTTAGCAATTTTCTTAATATATATAATTTAAGCTAGCTAAATTTATTAATTTATATAATTTTAAATAATTTTCATTTTAAGGAATTATTAAATAGGGTATTTTTTAATAATCTTATATTTTTCTTAAAGTTACTTTACTAACTTATTTATTTAATTTTAATGATTTTTTTAATATATAATAATAATATTATTTATATAAAAAAAGATTAAAACGCTATTTTTAATATAATAATATAGTTTATATAATACTTAATTATATTTATATTAAGTTAATATTTTTATAAATTCTTTTTATTATAATAATAATAAAATTTAAAGGTTATAAAGTGCTTTATTTAGCAATAAAATAATTTCTTTTTATTAATATTTATATAGTATTTATATAAATATATTTTAATTAATAAAAGCATATATAAAGGCGTTTATAATATTATATTATATAAGCTTTAGGTTAAACTTTATTATAATTATTATAAATATATAAAAGGATTATTTTGCTAAAGTAATTATATAAGTATTTTATATTTACTTTTTTGCTTATTAATTTCCTTAAATAATTAGCTAAGCTTTATATTTTTTAAACTATTTATGCTTATTAAACTTATAAATATAAACTTATATATAATTAAAGATTTATTTTTTAATTACTTAAAGGTTTTTCTTTTTAATCTTAATTTATAATCTTATTTCTTTATAACTTTATAAGTAATTAGCTTTTATTTATTTAAATAAATATTTAAAAGGGTAATTTTTAAGGTTTTTATGCTATTATAGTAATTTTAAAAGGCTGCTTTTTTATAGTTTTATTTTTTAATATAAATATCTTTTAATTTATGCCTTATTTAGCATTTTTTTATTAAATATTATTATTAAGGTAGCTTAAATATTAGCTATAAATATAACTTATTATAATATATTTATAATAAATTTATTATAAGATGAAATTTCTTTTATTAATTTTATTTAAATAGCATAAGCTAAGAGCGTTAATAAGGGAGTTTCCAAAGGCATAAGGAGTAATTTAAATTTTATATTTATATAGGCGTTATCTTATTAATCCGCCGTAAACTACCTTTCTCAAGCATTCTTTACGTTTTTTTTTAAGGCTTTTATCTTTTTATTAATGCTTTTTTCGCAATTTACTATAAATTAATTTTTTTAAGGTATCTTTTAAGAAGTTATTCTTAAAGAAATCTTTTTCTTTAGGGTTTAATATTTTATTTTATTTATAAAAAGCGTAATCTTTTATTTATTTTATAAAATATTTAATATTTATAATAAAAAGTTTATTCTTAAATCTTTTTTAATTTTTATTAAACTATTTATATTTATTAAAGATTATATTTTTTATATTAATAATCTTTTTAATAAAGGGAATTTATATTTAATAAATATTTAATAAGGAGTAATTAATTAAGTAGCCTATTTATACTTATAGTTTTAATTATTAATATTTATTCTTTCTTAGTTAAGTATTAAATATTATAATATAAGCCTTATATTTAAAGATATATAAGTAAGCTTAATTTAATTTTAAATTTAATTATAAAATCCTTATATAAATTGTAATTATTTTATAAAATTTAAAGTAAGGTATTTTTTATTATAAATTATATATTAATATTTAATTATTAAAATATATTATTACTTTTTTAATCTTTAATTATAATAAATATAATAGCTTTAAACTTATTTATATTATATGCATTTTTTCCTTAATTATATCCCTTAAGTACTTAACGTTATTATTTTATACTTAAGTATTTAATGCTAAGGGCTTTAATTTAATATATTTAAATTTAAGGAAGTTTTTAATGATTTATTTATAATTAAAAATTTCCTTATTATATTTAATAACTTTAATCTTAATTTTATATTATTATTTCATTATTTTATAAAAAAACTTAAAAATATAAAGTAAGCTATTATTATCTTAGCTTATAAAGTAATAATTTTATATATAGCTAAAGACTTTGCATATAAGCAGGAATTATAATATATAATTATGGATTCCTTTTTTATAATTATAAAAGTTTAATATAATCCTCTTACCTTTTTATTTATAAATTTCTTTTAATTCTTAATAAATTTATTATATAATTTTAATAAAGACATATACTTTATATTTTATTATAATTAATTTATAAATATGCATTTCTTAAAATAAATTTATTAAGTATTTAAATGCTTTTAATTTTAAATAGCTAAGTTTTTTATATTAAAAGATAGCTTTGCTTATAAGTAATCTTTTTTAAATATAAGTTATATATTTCTTTCTTTATATATTAAAGAAGCTTAAGGTTTTATTAAAAAAGTATTTAATAATATATTAATTATAAATATTTATAAATTAATAAAGAATTATTTTATTATATTATTAAAAAGTAGTTAATTTATGCTTATTATTTTAAAATATGCCTTTTTTTTAAAGTTGCCTTAAGGAAATAAGAATAATTAAGATTTATAAATATAGAGTAATATTCTTAAGATATAAAATAAAATTATTAATTTTTATTAGTATTATTTTATATATAATAATTAATAATTAATAATTATTTATAAAAATATAATTATTATAAATAGTTAGCTATAAATTTATTAGTTATTAATTATTATTAATAATTAAGATTATACTTGCTAAGTTTAATATTATTAAGTGCTTTAAAGGATATTTTTTAATAGCATTTATAATAAAAGCTTTCCTAGCCTTAATATTAATTATATAATACCTTAATAATTAATTATTAACCTTTTATATTAGCTTTTTCTTAATTAACTTTGAA